ACGTGCACCTCTCAGGCCCATAAAGTTTATCCCAGAGTTTATCCGCTTTACATCCAAGGGAGGGCCGCGTTAGAGTCATAAGAGCGTCATAAAAATTCATTTTTAAGGTGTTTTACTGCAGTTACCGTTCATTAACGTCAAATCGGGGAATTCGACTGGTTTTAAAATGTGTTTTTATTGTTTTGGATGGTGATATTTACTGAGTTACTCCTTTTGTCTGTTTATCCCTTTTAAAAAATAGACTTTGTCATAACTTAAATTTAGGCATCACATACCTAAATCTTTAATTTAGAGCTAGTTAAAGTAAGTTTCCTCTAGTATGTCCTAGGACCGATTGATCTCAAATCAATTTCATTTTTCTGGATATTTTGCTTTGTTTTACTGCAGTTACAGTGCTTTGGAGGTAGGTCTGACCCAGGGGTTTAATTACCCTCAAATTGGGGAATTCTACTGGTTTTAAAATGTGTTTTTATTGTTTTGGATGGTGATATTACTCATGTCAAAACTTAATTTAGGCATCACATTCCTAAACTTTAATTTAGAGCTAGTTTAGGTAAGTTTCCTCTAGTATGTCCAATGACCGATTGATGTCCGATCAATATAATCTTTACGTATACTTTACTGTGTTTTAGTTCAGTTGGAGGTTGGTCTGACCCAGGCGTCAAATCGGGGAATTATACTGGTTTTAAAATGTATTTCTACTGTTTTGGATGGTGATAGTTACTCAGTTACTCCTTTAAAAAAAGGACAGGAAAATAGTTCTTACCATTTATTTCCATGTCTTTGGAGTAACAACAACCAGGATCAATGCTTTGTTCACAGATAGTTGAGGTGAACAAAGTAGAACAGATATTTATCTCTTGATAAATATGTATGGTGAACTGTATGGTGAAATTTAATTAACCATATTTAATCATTTAATTAGCCATCACATACCTAAACTTTAATTTAGAGCTAGTTTAGGTAAGTTTCCTCTAGTATGTCCTATGACATCGGGGAATTCTACTGGTTTTAAAATGTATTTTTACTTTTTTTGGATGGTGATAGTTACTCAGTTACTTCTTTTAAAGAAACTAAATTAAATCTGTCTCTCTCTGAGCCAGTAAAGGGAAAAAACACCCAATCTCTATCCAGAAGCTCTCTTCTGTTTCTCCTGAATCAGATTTTATCTCCCATCACCAGATTTCTGGCCCAAACTCTCGATTATAATCTCAACACGGCTGATTTTATGGTTTTTTCCTCCATTTCATGGGGGTAAATCAGATTGTGGCGTATTTCTTAACAGCCCAGTAAAGTTTATTTTGGAAATTTGTAAAGATTGCATATTAGGGAAAAACGAGAGTGAGATGTTTTAGGATCTGGGTCTAAAAATAAAGACTGTTGAAAACATTTAGAAACAAAGATAACTCTGTTCAGAGTCCTTTGAAACTTTTAGTTGTGTTTTCAGTGTTTGCTTTTTGTCTTCTATTGAAAGAATGAATGTTTTTCTTTCTGTTAAACAAGAGTTCAAGTGGAAATAGTTA